AAGACTTAAACAAAGTGTAAAGTGGAATTTCATTGATTAGCACCTTATTCACATTTCTCCTAAAGTAACTAAGATTGGGAATTTAAAAAAATCCTTTAGTTACTTTATAATATTCATCCCACTTTTAATGAGAATTTATAAGTCCTTGTCCTACCCATTTGGCTAACGACCCTCCACCGATCAACGAAGCGGTGGGTGAGAGTGGATAACCATTAAGCTACCATTTTATAGGCAGCAACCTTATACCCCCTTATAGACCGGCTTTGTGAATGAGGCCGACTAATGGTAAGACGACTTACTCTTATATATATATATATATATATATATATATATATATATATATATATATATATATATATAATACTTATAATATTATAAAGTATAAGGATTGATTTTTAACTTTTAAAAATCTAGGGGTTGGAACTAAAGTTTATTAAGTGACTTTACATGTTCCAAAACTTGAGGGCAAGTTTTGTAACTTTACAAAACCTTTCAAATTCAAAACTTATGAGTTATTAAAATGAAGACTCTTCATTTTATAGCTTATGTGTTCTTTTAATGGTTTTTAACACAAAGAGACTTTTGGTTATCCATAACTTGAGGACAAGGTATGGACTCGATTAAAACACATAATGATCATGAATTAATCATTTAAACAAGTAATTCCTATGATCTATCAAAAAAACTCATAAGAACATGAATATTCGTATCAAAGTTTCAAGAACATATGAACACATAAAATCATGAAAAAATTATATTAGCCATTGTAAATGGATTAGAACAACCATTAAACAATATAAAGCAAGTTTTACAACACCAAAACAGTTTAGGGTAATGTTTCTAGTCCATTTCCAGCAGCAAAAATCGAAATTCTGCACCCTGCCTGGCCAACTCGTCGAGTACACGAACTGAATCGCCGAGTTGAATGCATTTTCACTTTGACTCGTCGAGTCCTCCCCATGGACTCGACGAGTCCCCTGTACAGACAGCTCAAAATTTGATTTTTTCACTATTTTGAATCAAGTATTAACAACCAAGCCTAGGCTCTGATACAACTGATGGGTTTTGCGCATTCTAACACCCTTAAGTGTACATGCAACCCTAGATAACCTTAGATCTATGTTTGTCAAAAATACATGTAAAATATGATTTCCATGGTTGATAATCCTATCTAGCATACATGGGGAACCCTTAATCTAAAATATGGCTAGAATTACATACCTTGTAGTTGATTTGATTCCTTGGAAACCTTGTGAGCCTAGCACCCCAAGTGTGATGCCTCAAATGCTTCACACAACACCAAGTACACTTGGAAAGACTTAGAGAGAATGTAAACACTTGTAAAAATCGGCCTAGCCCACTTGTAACTTCATGTAGCCCATTTTTTGTGAGTATGATGTCCTTTATATAGTGTGTCACATCAAGGGTTACACCATGTAAACCCTAACGTGACATGACTCTTCATTTCCATTACCCATGGGTTTGAAACTCCCATGGAGCATCCTATGGGTTTAACCCAACTTGATAATCCATGGAGACTTTTAGCCCACTATACAAGTTATGGATGATTTACATAATCAACCCATATATTTAATTAGTCATATTTTGATCACTTGATTAATTCCAAATTAATTCTTGATCAATATTAATTAAATAATACTATTAATATATTAGAACTTATAATATATTAATAAACCACAAGTGTTATTTCTCTCATTTAGTCTATCCAAATGCATGATTCCATGCAACCCAAATGGACCATGTCAGGTCGGGTCAAGTACATACCGAATATAGTTATGGACTTAGACACCTTATCCAACAGCTAACCGGGTCAAGTACATTCCAGTAATAGGTATGCACTTGCACACCTAATCCAACAGTCTCCCACTTGGATAAGTCTAATAACTATAACTAAATGAATGACTTCAGGAACCGATCAGCAATCGTAGCTCTTTCAAGGTCTCGCGGAACTGAGATGAAGATGATATGTCATTTAAGATAAGTTATCATATAATCCTCTAGTCTAGATATCCATCGGACAAATACATGGAACAATGTCTTACTTTTGTCTAGCAGATTGTTTCCAGATTTCCGATTTGGTTCACATAGAACTTAATCGAACACATCAATTTAGTTCTAACCGGGCTCGGTACATAGGTCAAAACAAAATCATCGAGGGGCCCAGATATCGCTTCTAATCCAATAAGGAACATATAAACTTCCACTCATATGCTTGTTATACTACTTGTTGAATTATATATAAAGGCACATTTTATGACATCGAGTTACCAATGCATTTTCGTACAATCAATGCATAACCAACTCATAGGTAAAAATTCATATCTCTAGGTTTGAAGACTTATATCATATTTCCGACTCACGATCACTCAAGATAAATTCCATGAAGTGATACAAGTGAGCGGGGGTTGAATCCAATACTCAATACTGATGAGCACTCATGAGTGTTGTAGCACCTCTTGCTATGTCCAACAACTTAGACATCTACAAGCCAACTAATGATAGTCTTGATTCATATCTACTTCCAACATATGACTGACTGTGGAGAATTTTACTAATATGATATACCATAACATAATTATTCTGGAAGTCAAAACATGCAAAATGAAATGATAGTAAACGATTGACAAAAGATAGCAACACTTATACTTATAAATAAACAACAACTTTTATTTATCATCAAATGTCAATTACACTTTACAAATTTCAAAGCTATCTAACTACTAAAACTAATATCATCCTTCATCCCTATGGCCCTCGCATGCTGAAGATGCTTAACTTTACCCAGTCCCTTCGTGAGGGGATCTGCTGGATTCTCATCCGATGATACCCTCTTTACCATGAGGAGTCCTTCTTTTATACGATGTCTGATGAAATGATATTTTATATTGATGTGTCTGGATATCCCGTGATCCCTTGGTTCCTTGGCTAAGGCAACGACACTTTCACTATCACAGAAAATTTCCATAGGCTCCTTTATAGTCGGTACAACTCCAAGGTTTCCAATGAAGTTCTTTAGCCATATAGCCTCTTTTGCTGCCTCGCTTTCCACTATATACTCTGATTTGCAAGTTGAATCTACCATTGTCTCCTAATTGGAACTTTTCCAAGTAATTGTTCCTCCATTTAAGGTAAAGAACTAGCCTGATTGAGAGCGTAAATTATCCCTATCATCACTATACCCTACTACTCTCAACTCATCACTCCCACTGAGGGTAAGGGCCCAGTCCTTAGTCCTTAGTCCTTCGAAGGTACTTGAGAATGCTCTTTACCGCAGTACAGTGAGCCTTGCCATGGTTCCCTTGATATCTATTGACCATGCTCAATGCGAAGGCCACATCAGGATGAGTACAAGTCATAGCATACATGATCGATCCTACAACAAAAGCAAATGGTACTCGACTCATCTCAGCTATCTCAGCCTCTATACTCAGGCTCTGAGTCTTACTCAGTCTGTAGTTACTGTAGATCCTTAACTCTCCTTTCTTGGAGTTCTGCATGTTGAACCTATTCAGCACCTTACCCAAGTAGGTACTTTGACTAAGTCCAATTAGCCTTTTACTCCTGTCTCTTAAAATCCTTATCACTACAATATAGGCAGCTTCTCCAAGGTCCTTCATAGCAAAACACTTCCCAAGCCACGACTTAACCTCCTGCAAAGTTGGAATATCATTTCCCATGAGTAGTATGTTATCCACATACAGTACCAAAAAGCTAACTACAATCCCACTAGCCTTGACATATTCCCAAGATTCACCCTCACTTCTCGAAAAGCCAAACTCTTTGACTTTATTATCGAAACAAAGATTCCATTTGCGAGGTGCTTGTTTCAATCCATAAATGGATTTCTCAAGCATACACACTCTATTAGGGTACTCTATGCTGACAAAACCCTCTAGCTGACACATGTAGACATCCCCAGCCAACTTTCCATTAAGGAAAGTGGTTTTGACATCCATTTTCCATATTTCGTAATCATGATCAACTCCTGTAGTTTGAGAAAAGCCCTTTGTAACCAGTCTAACCTTATAAGTGTGTACATTGCCTTCCTTTTCAGTCTTCTTCTTGAAGATCCATTTGCACCCAACTGTCTTATGACCTGGTAAATTGTCAACCAAGTTCCAAAATTGATTGCCGTCACTACTAGAAAAACAGCCTTTTACGACGCTCATTGCGCGTCGTAAAAGGCTCAGACGACGCGCAAATGCGCGTCAAGGAAGGCCCTGTCATAAAGAGAGATGACGCGCTTTTGCGCGTCGTCTATAGACGACGCGCATTTACGACGCTCATTTACGACGCGCATTTACGACGCGCAATGCGTATCAAGGAAGACCCTGTCATAAAGGAAGACGACACGCATTCGCGTGTCATAACCTTACGACGCGCGTGTTAATGACACGCAATGCGTATCAAGAAAGCCCCTGTCAAGAAAGGCCATGTCATAAATGAAGATGACACACATTTTTGCGTATCATAATCTTAAATGTTTAAAAAAAATATTATTTATAGATTTACTAATTTTCAAATTAAATAATACATTAAAAATCTCATAATACAAAATAAAATACCATAAATAACAAAGATAATTCATTTCACTAATATGTCAAATACAAATAATTATTCCAATAGTGAGTAAATGTTATAATAAAATGAACTCATTTATATACAATTGCATTATCTAGCTTACTATGTGCCAACAACTCTCTATGTGTTTACTTTTGCTTGAGTCTCGTTTCCTCCAAAGCTTCTAAATCACAAACCTTTTTAAACATACTAGAGACAGGATCCAATCCATGGGGTATTTTTGGAAAATAGTCTGAACATTCTTGACAAATCATCAACCTGCAAGTGAAGGGTAGAAAGGGAAGAAACAAATGTTCACAACCAGTAAGAAATCTAAACACTAGAAGTTTCATAGTGATTGTTGATTCCTATAAACTCAAATGTGAGATGAGAGGCTTGTTCACAACCAGTAAGAAATACTAAGTAGAAAGAAACAAATCAGCACCGTTTTCTGCTTCTGCTGCAAGCAGTAATATGGAGCGTGACCCACGACAGATGAGGCAGTCATCTCCTTGAAAGCTAAATACATATGTTCTCGCAAAACTAACATAAAAAAACAAACAATAATGAGAATAATTTGTGGCATTCATCACCTTTAGTATCCAGCCACAAATCAGGACCAATTCATCCATCAAACACACAATCAGCACTCAGCAAGCCCACTCCACTACCCTCTCCAACAGCAAGTCAAAGTAAGCATCATCCAAGTGTTAGTGCCAAAAAAAATCAAAACATTCATTAATTTTAACGTGTTGGGAGGAGAGCAATTAGGTAAAAGGATTGAGAAATTCGTACCCATGCTTATCTTAGCAAACTTGGTTTGGAACACCTGCACAATAAAATATAAATTATCAAAAGACTAAATGACTATCTTACCCTTACATTGAAAAGTCAAAGTGCCAATTTAATATGAAACATGGGTATGATTGTATAAAAAACGGACCTTGAAGCCAGTGTCACCTAGATTGAAGTAGAATCTCTCCTGGTATCCTGAAAAAAAAAAAAAAACAAGGGACTATTTATTTTAATTAAACTTACATAAAATATAAGAGATTCTTTATGCTGATTATATGTGTAGATAATTAGAAACTTAACTGAAAGCATTTTAACTCCGGGGAGGGATAATATTGGGTCCATATGTTGGAAAAGTATCTGAAGTACATCACCTGAAATCGATCGACAACCACAACTCGAGCCTGGTCGTGATTATAGCTCAACTGCCACCTTCACACTCCCGTCAGAAGTTTGTTAATCAAATATGATCACTCTTGGACACGGGAATTAAACTTAATAAAGAATAAAATTTTGCTTTCCATTTGCTTTTCTTATTACGACATTATAATTTAAAAATCTTCTACATATCCTTTCTATTTGGATAAAATATGTTATAAATGGTATATATTTTTCAAAGAAAGCACATTGCTATCTATTGCATTCATTTTTTTATCTCAAGAAATGTCTAGATTTTCATTAATTGGTAAACAAATTTAAGTTTTGTTCAGTTTTTACCTGATTGTACTTGGCTAAGCGCTCTCCACGAGAAGGAGAGCCTGCTTTGATTTGACAAGAGGCAAGACCAACCACCAGGTCAGCAATGAAAGAATCATCTATTTCCCCACTTCTCTATGATATCACCACCATAACTTGGAACCATCATAACCGGTCAGCAGATTCATACACATTTGAGAGGTTAAAACATCTTAGAAAACTTCCTCAGGGCATTATGGTCACATAAATGCTATACATCATCTTCCTCAGGCAGTTTCACTGCTGTGTATATACATGCACCAGCTAGTGCGCCAAGGATGGGAGCTGTAAGGTAGATCCATATGCCTTTGTAGTTATTTGCAGCTATTGCTGGTCCCAAGGTTCTTGCTGAGTTCATTGATGCTCCTGTTAGTGGCCTATATCATTTCAACAAAGGGAAAAATGTGAACAAAGAGGTTACCCCCCCTTTTTTTTTTTTTTTTTTTTAAAAAAACTTCTATCAACATACCCAGTTATCAGAATATTAAGAAGGTTCAATTTATACGTACCCATCTATAAGAATATTAAGCATGACAGTTGCCCCCACAGCTATTCCCGCTAGCTCGCCAACTTGTGGTGAAATAAAAATTAGGTTACAGTTATTTGAATAATTGCAAAATTTGTCTATGTTCATGTATATGTAAAATTTCCATAGCCAATTTTATATTAATACTATAAAATAATAAATATAAATAAATAAATATATATATATATATATATATATATATATATATATTACCCGTGAAGACCAGGGGTAGATGGGCGATATACACTTGTTAAGCCTAGTTGTCTAGCAGCTGAAGCAGTGGTTTCGCTAATGCATGCAACAGAACCCTCCCATGTCTGTGGTTCAGGTAGAAAATCCACCGAAGCACTGTTGCATGATAAAGATTAACAGATTAGAGGTCATTTTTTTGGATTTATTTTTCAGGTTTTATGTTTTTTTGGTTTCATAAAGCAATAAAAATAGCAATGAAAGAAATGGTGTCTTCTTGAAGTCAAAGTCCATGAAAGCATGAGGAAGATATTTGTTGAATTTCGCAATATATTATAACAAAAAAGTTCGAGAACTTTATATCTAAGAATACAAATTATTGGTGTGTAATGGAGACTGAGAAAACCTCTAAATAAATAATCAGATAAGCTTCGGTTCGGTTAAGCTTTTTAAATTAGGTCATAAAACAAAGCATTGAACTAACCCCAAAAAAAACATGTGAAACTCCTTCAAAATTTACAAACAAAAAAATATTTATATTTATATTTAAAAACATGTGAAACTCCAAAAAAAAAAAAAAAAAAAAAAAAAAAAAAAAAAAAAACAGGTGGCATAATTAATAGAAAATGATCTTACTTTAATTGGATGCACGGCTATTGAAGACAAACTTCAAGAAGGGTAAGAAAGAAGCTGCAGCAACACCTCAACCCCTGCTGCAACAACATTTCCATTAACCCAAGGACAGAAGAAATTATGATGCTTAATTGGATCAAACTCCACTACTTGTTCAAAGTTGCTTTCCCCATTTGGAGGCCCTAAATACCAAAATATATAAATAAAATAAAAAAGATTAAATGTTCAATCATTTTTAATAGAAAAAAGGACTCTAACCTAGCCCATTTGCAAGAGGCTCACATGGTTATACATTCATGCTCTTTATGTTACATTTTCATAATCTCAGGTTCGTGAAATGGCAATGGTTTCTGCTGTTCAGGAAGCCCAGAAAGATAATCTCATAAACTTTAGTGACTACATGATGACAGTGTTAGAGGTTAGTTTCTACACAAAGTCAAAGTTACACTTCAATTCTGTATTCTGATATCTACTAAATTACCCTTTTACCGCCTGTTTAATACTAAATTACCTTTTTTTTTCTATCTGTCAGGATGACTGGCAAAAGGAAAAAAGGGACTTTCTTCACAGCTTGAGCCGCATCTCCAGTTTAGCAAGGACCAATGTAACTGATTCAAGCATTGGGGCTAACCGATCAGGGCCAATATTATCTCTATTTTCTAGTCCTCACATTTCATCTGGTCCTTCTAACATGGAGCTTTTGGCAATAGTTGATAAAAAGGCTGCAACATATGTCCAGGTTGTGAGAAAACTCAATGATGCAAGAAAACGTAGTTTAGAATATAAAGTTGCAGCCTTTTTTGTAGAAGATTGCTCTTTCAAGCATTTTGTCGATCACTTGGAGTGCATATATGCTCTCTTTTTTCTGACCCATTTACTTTAATTGTACATTTATAACCATCGAAAACAAATGCCAAAATCACATACTTTAAGCATCGATTCATTGTAAAATATAAAATAAAACATCAAACTGAGGTTCAACAAAATAACATTAAGAGAGGGGTAGAGATTTTCGAGATGATCTACAGGGGATGAAGAAATAAAGTTCTTCTGTTCAAAAATAAAACCAAACAGATTCATCACTCTCAACATTTTAAAGACAAAGATCAAGTAGTTAAACACAAATTTTAAACTGAAATTTAATCAATATAATGAAAAATCAGAAAAAACATACTCACAGTAGTAGTCGTGGCGGCCGTAGTTGTCGACTCCGCCATCATAAACTTTTTTGTTGAAGAAATAGGAGATGGTAGAAGCGTCCTTTTCATAGCATAGTAACACCTCCCATTCCGGGGAGAAATAGGAGATCGTAGTTCTCGGCCGTAGTTAAACACAATTTTTGTTGAAGAAAGGAAACTTCAATTAAATGAACAACTTTACCATATTTGGGAGAAAAAATCGGGAATGGGTTACTATTAACGAACCTTATAGAGTTTATCGCCACCAAGATGATGGAGATGCACGAAAAAACCAGAATCCTTTTTTCTTGATTGAGAAGATGAAGTTGAGGGATGAATGAGAAGTTGTGTTCCCCTAATTTGCTGAATGGATGAAGAAATAGGACCAAGGCTAGAAGCGCAACTAGACTAGGGTTTGTAAACGTGGGGAGTCATTGTAGATGGAGTAGGATAGAGGTGAAGAGGAGTGAGCGGGGTACTTCAAAATTTTGGGGGATTTTCCATGTTTCTAGTGGTGGCGGCTGCTAGGTTTTACAGAGAGTAGCAGGGGAGAAAATGAAAGAAGATATTACTATTTCAAATGTGTTATGTTTGATTAGGGTTTGCACATAGAAGGAAGTGAAAGTCGATCGGAGAAGAAGGGGTTTGCAGAGAGAAAGAAGGGAGAGAATGAAGTCGATTTGGCGGGTGTAGAGAGTAGAGAGGAAGAGGAAGCGGGTGTTCAAAATTTTGGGGGATTTAGTTTCCCCCCTGAGTCCCAGAAATGCGCGTTTATTAAAATTATAAAGCGACATTTGTAGAGGACGCCCTTTTTATTATAGGTGCCCTCCGTGTTTTTAATATTTTTACATGAGACACTAATTTAAGGGCACTCAGTAATGCGCGACCTAAATCCTTAAAATTTTTGAAGAGATGACACTTTTTTAATGTCGCTCTCTAATGTGTAACATAAATCAAAGAGCGTCGTGTTTTGCGCCTCGTAAAAGGCCTTTTTTCTAGTAGTGCGTACATGGACTATATCTCGTTGTCCATAGCCTCTTTCCATTTAGCAGCCTCAAAGCCTGCCATGGCTTCGATGTAGTTGTTAGGTTCATCCGAACCAATCAGCATGTTATCACTGATAAGTGTATTACCTTCCGCAATAATATGGAAACCATAGTAATGCTCAGGTGGATTCCTAACTCTCGTGGAACGCCTCAAAGGTACAGACTCGTCGGTCAGATCAACCGGAGTTTCCTCCTCAGGTTGATTGCTAAGGTTTGAGGTTCCTTCACCACATAACTCTTGATCTCATGAGGTGTTTTGGCAGCCTTTTTGGTAGGGACTAGATTAAGAATATGGGTGGCAGTATCTAAGGCATACCCCCAAAATGAGATTGGTAGCGAAGCTTGACTAATCATGGAACAAACCATGTCCAACAAGGTTCGATTACGCCTATCAGCCACACCATTATGTGGTGGTTTCCTAGGAGGTGTCAATTATGAGACAATCCCACATTCCTTAAGATAGTCAAGGAACTTTGTACTAAGATACTCACCACCTCGATCGGATCGAAGCATCTTAATGTTCCTGCCCAAATTTATTCTCCACTTCCTGCTTAAACTCTTTGAACTTTTCAAAGATTCCTTACATATGATTGATTAAGTAAACATATCCATATCTACTAAAATCATCAGTAAAAGTCACATAGAAGTGGCTTGCATCCCTTATGGCGGTTCTGAAGGGTCCACACTCATCAGTGTGTACCAGATCCAACAAAACTTCACCCCTAGCATAAGAACCAATGAATGGATATTTGGTCATTTTTCCAAGTAGACAAGATTCACAACTATCATCCGACTTTAGGTCAAATGACTCCAAGACTCCATCCTTTTGGAGTTGGCCTATGTGTTTCTTGCTTACATGTCCAAGACGACAATGCCACAATGATGCTTTATCCAAGTTAGTGGAAGAATCAATAACACTTCACATTATTTTCTTTAAATTAAAGAACATTATTAAATAAAGCTTTAAATAAAGCATTAATACTACCATATTCATTATCAAAAGAAAACGTAAATCCTTGTTTGTACAAAGCATGAAAAGAAATAATATTTCTCGCCATTTCAGATGAGTAACAACATTTATTCAAATCTAATGTTAACCCACTACTTAGCAACAATGTACAAACTCCAATCTTGGTGACAGGTGAAGCTTTCATATTCCCCATGATTAAGTTTATCTTCCCATGCTCCACATCCTCACTTCTTTTTAGTCCATGCAAGTCAAAACAAATATGAATACCACAATCGGTATCAAGGATCCAATAATTAGAATGTGGTGAGTTATTAGACAATATAGTGTAAATACCTGCATCGTCGGGTTTCACTTTCCCATCCATCACATCTTGCAGATACTTTGGGCAGTTTCGCTTCCAGTGCGACTTTTCGTGGCAATAGAATCATTCAGCCTCTTTAGGGTTAGCAGAAGGAGTGATGGAACTTTCCTTTTTTCTCCTAGAAGATGAGCCTTCAAGGGACTTTCCCTTGGTACCCTTCGAGGGGTTCTTTTTCTTCTTCTATTTTCCTTGCCCGATTGCCAAGACCAGGGCCGCGGTAGGAGTAGGAGTGGTAACACCCGACTTACCCTTAAGACCACTTTCGGTAGTCTTCAAGAGGCCTTGAAGTTTGCTGAGTGTAACCTCCTCCTTGTTCATGTGCTATGTCATTCGGAATTGATCAAAACAAGAAGGTAAGGAGTGAAAAATGTTATCAACTGCCAACTCCTCGAGGAAGTTCACATTTAGTTTCAGCAACCGGTCCACATTCGGGTTGTTATCATGGAGCAGATGATATCATACCTCTCTTGGTGAGCACTTTAATGGTAATGGTCCATCAAGTCCTGGTGCATCTCAAAAGGGTAATAGTCCTCATAGGACTTTTGGAGCTCGGCTGTCATCGTGGCCAACATGATACAAGTCACTTTAGTGGTATCTCTCTCATGAATCTGGAATTCAGACGACTCATCAAGTTCCTTCAGCTCCTTGTCGAGGACATATTCCTTGTCCTTGTAATGAGTGACCATCCTGATGTTCTGGATCCAATCCATAATGTTGGACCCATCGAAGATGACTCTCCTACAAAGGTTCATAAGAGAGAAGGAGTTGGTAGGGTTTAAGCCAGAAGCAACATTGTTTGAAGAAATCTGAAAAGGAAGAAAGATAAGTTTAGATTAGATATAAAGATAGTCCTTAATAAAGCACCCAAATGTAATACTAAGGCTAGGACCCAACAGAATACTTTTATAACTTAGAAGAGGGATGTTGTAATCCAAGCTATAAAATAGTTGAAGGTATATGAACGACGATTCACCAATTTCCACCATGAAAAACGAAATAAATTATTAGGTTTTAATTAGTTTTTGAAACTCCTAGATTCTTTGAGATTTATTGAACTTTTCAATGGCATGTTTCAATCTCGAGTGTGCCCATCAAGTTTTGTCACTAGGATGCCGACGATCACAAAACAAGGTGTGAAGTAACCATGCAAATTACAATGTACCCTTAATCAATGTACCGGCTAACCACACACGCTCCATCGATACTATGATAAACATTAAGTTACCCTTTACTTACCTTGTTAAGTCCAAGTTAGTGTGTTGGTTAACCGCACACGCTCCACTAACGACTTAAACAAAGTTCAAAGTGTAATTTCATGGGTTATCACCTTATTCACATTTTCCTATAGTAACTAAGATTTGGAATTTGTAAAGCGGTCGGTGAGAGTGGACACGCATTAAACTACCATTTTATAGGCAACAACCTTATGCCCCCTTATAGACTGTCTTCGTGAATGAGGTCTACTAATGGTAAAACGAATTTTGTTCTTATATATATATATATATATATATATATATATATATATATATACATTATTAACTTATAATATTATAAAGTATAAGGGTTGAATTTTAACTTTAAAATTCTAGGGGTTGGAACTAAAGTATTTTAAAGTGACTTTACATGTTCCAAAACTTGAGGGAAAGTTTTGTAACTTTCAAAAGTTTTCATCTTTCATAACTTATGAGTTAATGGATTAATAAAATGAGAGACTTTTCATTTTATGGATTAAAAGTGTGACTTTTGGTAATCCATAACTTGAAGACAAATTATGGATTCCATTAAAACGCATCAAGATCAAGAATTAAACTACCAAGCAAGTTACAAATAATTCTTATGATCTTCTAAACTCATAAGTTCATGAACATGCATATCAACAATTTCATGAATCATAAATAAACTATATAAGACTTGAAATTATGATATTTGACATTGAAAATGGATTAGCATAACCATTACACCATCTAAAACAAGTTTTACAAGACCAAAATAGTTTAAGGTAATGTTTCTAGTCCATTGCAGCAACAAAACTCAAAAATCTGCAATCAGGGACTCCTACTTGTCGAGCGCACGAACATACTCTACGAGTATGATGAATTATCACATGGACTCGGCGAGTTCACTCAGCAGATAGCAAATTTATTGAGTTTTTCAACAAGTTTGCATCAAGTATCAAATAAACAAGCCTAGGCTCTGATACCACTGAAGGGTTTTGGGCATTCTAACACTCCTAAGGTGTACATGCAACCCTAGAAACCTTAGATCTATGTTTCACTAAGATACATGAAAATTTGATTTCCAAGGTTATTATCCTAACTAGCATGGCAT